CTGCTCACCGGGGCACCGTATTCAGATGGTTCATGGAAAGCATGCAGGCCATCATCGAGACTGTCGAGTTCCTCCTCTGTGCCAAAAGACGTGCCGACATCCTCGTCCTGGTTCGAGCGAGCGACTGTTTCGAGGGAGCCAAACTCACTGAAGCGCGACAGGCCAGCTGTGCGCGGTGTTCGCTCAGTCGAGGTGGTGTGTGTGCGGGTGGTGGTCGAGGGGGCAGGGGGAGAGAAGAGAACCCACTCCTCTGATTGCTCGAGAGACGTCTTGACCTGGGGCAAGGCGGGTGTGGCTTCGTCGACGCGTTCTGGGCCATGGTAGGAAGTCTGGCGGCCGCTCTGTGGCCTATGCTGCTGTAAGAAGGCCATAGTGCGGTAGGCCTAGTTTGGTGTGCAAGTTTGTTGGTAGTGGCGACGAGGGAGTCACGGCCTCAGGAACCAAGGCACGTGGACGTCGACCAGATGACGGGAGCGATGATGGGTTTGGTGATGTGGTGCTGTGACTTGAGGGGACGGCGAAGTGGAATGAGCACGTCGCCCGGACAGCAGGTTCTTTGTGTTATCGACGTGCTGGTCGCATGCCCCCCCTTGCGAGCTTCAGCTGCGTTAGCGGAGCGAGGGGAAAGCGCAGGTGTATGATGTACAGATGGCGCTATGGCGGCGCTAGTGCCAAACAGGTTGTTTACTGCAGGCGCAAGCGGTGGATGATCTGGCGCAATTCTCGGAAAGCGTGCGGGGATCCTGTGACCCAGAAACAAAACTCGGAGGCAGAAAGAAGAAAAGGAGACGTGGCGATGGCACGAGCGGAGCTTGCGCTGACGGGATGCAGGCCGGCGTGCTTGGGTGTTGGTTCAAGTGTATGTGAGCATGTATGCGGTGGTATGCAGTTGGGGAAGGCGTAGGGCCGCAGTGCTGATAAGATAACGACGACATGCACCTACTTTAGGGGTCCCACCCCCCATGTCTGACGGCGGCCAAATTGTTCGACTGATGACGAGATGAGCCAACGATTACTCACTTGCGGCATGCTCCTCTGCTCTGCGTTGGACTCGCCTGTCCGAAGAAGGGCCAGCCCTGTCTGCTCCCGACTCAATGGGCGTTGTCGGCCGCCAGGCCTTGGGCCATGGAGAGGGCTAACAGATGTCACGCAATCGCCCATGCCCGCGCGTCCTCGTGCAAGTTGCAGATGTGCCTCCAACTCGGCCTTGACGCCCCTCAGACGACTCCTGCCTGTCAACCAATCACTATCCCTACAGGAAATCGCCCGGTTTGACCCATGGGGCGCCAGAGGCTGAGCTGACTAGGCAATCTGTTGATTCCCGATATACCTACGAAGACACCGGCGTCGACGTCAGATATCCCGAGCCTTTTCCGCACTAACCATGACACCTGTCTCGGCGACTTTCGCCCGCTAAACTTTCTCTACTCGACAACACCAGTGAATGTAGTATGACATACCCTCGTAACGAACCTCTTTTTTTCCGGAAACACTTCCCCTGACTCACTCAGAGGCAAACACTGCACTTCAAATCTTGGCCTTGATGTGTGTGTGTGCTCCAACAAAGGGCAACTTTGATATGAGAAAAAGAAAAAGGTTCATTTGCGCGTACGGGGGCTACGTAGGTAGGTATCTCAAAACAACGCCAGCGTGGTATAGTAGTACAGATGCAACAAAACGCCTTGCAGCTATACAATGAGTGTAAACAATACTCGACCCAATCAATCGTTCCGGTCGTTATGACTTCAGTCTTCAAGATGCAGAATCATACTCTGCTCCAAAAACGCGTTTCCCGTCTTCTTCGCTCATCTCCTCGCCCTCGCCAAGGTCGGACCACGACTTGACAATATGCGACCTCTCTCCAGCACGCCTCTTAAGAGTGCATTCGCCATTACCTTGACAAATCTCTTGCCGTCCAAGGTTCTTGAAACGAGGCCCCAACGGCCCGTTGACGTAATGATATTGGCCCAAGAAGCGGTATTGTCGGGGGTCGCTAAGTGGGTAAAATTTGTCGCCCCAGTGGCCAGCAAAGTAGAACCATGATGTCGGCGCGACGGGGTTGAGGTTAGATGAGACAAGCCGGTCCGTCCGATAGTTGTACTTGTACGAGTACATGTTGAGCACAGGGTCCCAGAGAGGGCCACGATCAGTAACGTCGTGCAGAATGCCACCTGGCAGAACATACGGATGAGTGCCCTCAGTCGCGTACATGGCGTGGGTCCCTGTGGCAGAAAAGCCGATAGGCTAAATGTGTCAGTTTAAGCCATTGTACTGTGCCTTGCATCAACTTACCCTCTTTCCACTCTTCTCTACAGCGTCCCAGGCGTACGCTTCACCAAAACTGTGTTCACTAAAGAACACTGCCTTTGGTTCGCCGTGGTGAAACCGGACCACCGTGTGCTCCCAGTCACCCACATGGTTACCGAAACGCACGTTAAAGACTGCATTGCCCAGGTTGTAGCTGTAGAAGAAGAACCAAAAAGCATCGACAACTCCGTCGCCCTTGTCTACCACGACCAATGGCACAGGGGCATCGCTACGCCCGCCAACGACCCTCTTGCCCTTGTACTTGCGGCGCACACGGCGCAGTTCTGATCGCCAATACCTGTCATCATCATCGGTGTCGTCGATAAGTTCGTCGCCCTCGGGTGTGCTGGTGGGAATGGGCCCTCCAGGAGTTGATGGGTCAGGTCGAATGCCACCTCGCCCTTTGGTATCACCCTTGCCGACGTGCCACCAACGCGACTTCTTGCTTTCTCTGTCTTCTGTAAGATGTCCTTTGGCTCCACCATCATGCTTCGGGTCATCGCCATCGTCGTCTCCGTTTCCTGGTACATTCGGAATATTGTAATCCGCACCTAACCACGCCGGGCGATCCTCTACATTGTCATCGCTCTGGAGGTATACGAATCTTCCCCACTTGTTAAGTTGCCCAAGATTGCTGATAGTCGGGTGATCGCTTTGGGCTTGAATAGGCGTGTAGTTCAGATGAGGCGTCGTATGCACCAAGTGATCAGCCATATCTCCCGGCCAGTATTCTTCTCCCGAGAACAGGTGTATCAGAGGCGCATGGTCTATAACGTATTGTGGGATCTCGAGCTCGGGATCTGGCTTGTAGTCTGCGGGAATGTTCCGCGCATCTTTCCAGAAGTCGTTCAGGTTGGTCTTGTCCGACTCCTCTATAATAACCGTCTGGCCTTGTGTGTCGGATGCTGCCGTGGTCCAGTGTGCTTGGTTTAGATGCGCCAGGCCACATATTCCAAACCAACTGCACGCTTTGCGATCTAGCCAAGATTTGGACGATGCAACCCATTCGGTTTCATCTGCGCGCTCATCCCCGAGTGTCAACTTGTCGAACAGGAAATCCTGGTAAAAGTGCGAAAACGTGAATAATCCGAACAATGCGCCCCCAGCGGCGGCAACAGGTTTCCTGCCCTTCATTTCTGCCTCGTTCTCGCTCAACGAGCTCTCTACGCCAGCGCCAGATGTGTAAGCCTGCTCAGACGAGTCTTGTTGCAAAGGATGGGTTATAGGGATATCGATGGTAGGAATGAGTGCTTCGTCGTGGGCGTCTTGCGTAGCATCTGGATTCTGGATCGAAGTATCGGAGGAGTACGTTGCTACCGGAGGATGCTCAGGTATATCGGCCTTGGGGATAGGAAGTAACGAAGGCAGGGCTGCTTGTAGTGGAACCTGCACTCCGCCATGATGCAAGTACGGAACGAGTGGCACTGACTAGTTAGCTTTCATCCATAAGTTCCGGTTCAAGACGCCACAGAATAATCCCATACGGAATGCCTGAAGCCGGCACTGCCGGTATGCTGACAAAGATGCTGCAGGTGACAGGTATGATTGCCATGAGCAGCAGTGGATCAGCCTCGCACTGGGCAACGCAGGGAATAGCCACAATGATGAGCGATGCTGTAACTGCGACAAGGCCCAACAGGGCTGGATTTGAGCTAATGGCACGCTCGAAATCCGGCGGGGAACGGACACGGCGGAAGGTAATGATGGCCCGAAATGGTTGTTGTATGGCCGGACTTGGGCGGGAGCAGACTCACTGATGGAGAGTAGATAAGCGCAGGCAGCCGATTGGCGCTAGAGTCACGTCGAGGAGATGCACAATGGTTATTAAAAGAATGCGATCAATATACATCAAGCAGGAACGTATGCAGTAGATGTTTTGTGCAGAGTGGCGCGCAGTGGTGGTTGATGCGTTCTGGATGGTTCCCGGCTGGGCGTACGTCGTCAGCGCTAGCTGGGGACGATGCGGGCACGGGAGCCTCGGTAGGCAAGCGGCTCTCCATGCCATAAACCTGGCATCCAGGCACGGCCTATCGATACAACACGTTATCGATAGATAAGCCATACGTGCAGCTTGTGAAATGTATGCACTCTGTTCTGTGTCTCTGTATAGCCAGCGTGGTTGTGGGCGGCACATCAGGGTGTCAGACGTGGCCTCACTTGCGGACAACCATCCTGTGCCGCATCCAGTCGCGATGTGAGACGCATGCAGATGCAAAAGACTATCACTCTCTATGAGCAGGACATGTCGTTGACCTTCTATCCTAGTGTAATGCATGCTGTATGCACGCCCAACTTTAGGCTCATTCCCCACCCTTTCGCAGCTCAGTGCCAAAAAGACATGCATGGCGCTGAGACACACAGGCTCAGCCCGACATAAACGCAAAAAAAGGATGGTTGTCTCCGCTCCCAGAATCGAACTAGGGACCTTTCGATTACAATTGCAATTACAGTCGAACGTGATAAACCAACTACACCAAGCGGAGTTGTACGACTTTTCAGCCGTGCTTGGATTTGCGATGTGAGAATGGAAAACAGTGGTATAAATATCGCCATTGACAAAACTGTGCAAAAATATCCGTACCAAATATTGGTTGGAAAACTTCGGCTATAAATCACCATCTTTCAATGTCTTTCCACTGACCCCACTGCGCTGCGTCTTCCATTACCTTGAGTTTTTGAAAGCGCCCAGCATCATGACTCACATCGATGACGAATGGGAGTATGAGTACGATGAGACCGAAACGGAGGACTTTTACATTCCCTTGGATCTTTCCAATGTTCCAGCAGCTCAAATCCCTATGGTGTCGCAAAGTAGGCCGGGCCATCCAACTTTGCTTAAAAGCCGACTGCGCGCGCTGAACGCAGCTCGAGGTCAGCCGGCCGAGGTCGCAGCCGGTGCAAACGCCAGACAAGAAACGGCCAACATGGGCGAAGTGCAAGTGATTGGGCTGCATACGCCGAATCCGTTGGTCATGTATAACGGTCAGTTGTTGAGTTGCCACTGGACTTCGACTATCGGAACCGACATGTTCTTCGTGAAACCGGATGCGGACGCGGACACAACGCAGCCATTACGATCTTTGCCATCGGTCGACTTGCTATCTCTGGGGTCTGCAAAATTGGTTGCAAAAGTTGGACGACTGCGGCCGCGCGATGATGTCAACCACGCTGATGATGCGCAACAGCCGACTGAATCTGTGCAAAGTACGGGTGATGGTTCAAGTCGGGCCGCTGCGGCTTCAGGTGAAGGTGAAGGACGACAATCCGGTGGCGAGGCCAAGCCAACGTCGACAAACTTTCTAGCAAGATTAAACGAGGCAAAATTGAAGAGAGGGGAGAAGTCGCAATTGGCAATCTCCAAAACATCCGACGGGTCTCGTCTAGTTGCGGAGAAAGCAAATGTTGTAGCTGGAGCCTCATCGCAGGAAAACGACGATACGGTTATGGGAGGCGTATGAGAAATACGGAGCGGAACGAGCAACTCTGGGGAGCCGTGTGACATATCGGCACCTCGCTGAAACAAGGGAACATTTGCCACAATTAGTCAAAGGTGCTCCCCAGAATCACTCAGCAGTGAAGTAACTGAGATTGACGTTTGCAGCCTGACTGAAAGTAGCAAAACGCCTGTTACATGAATGACGTGGGAAGGCAGCATCATTGGGGACGAGCCCTTTAGCAGATCACTGTGGGGCTTTGATGTATTGCGGCTTCCTCCCGCCTCCGAAAGCCAGGGTCTTTGTCCTGGCAAGACCAACCCTGGCCATCTACATTTCGTATGTACGAGCAAACAGTTTCTGCGAAAATGCATCGCAGTCACTGAGTCGCTCATCTGTTATCCTAATATCTTGTTCAAATTCATCCCTCGTCTATCCCTGATAATCTTCTCCTACGTATTGTTAATGCAGAGACCTGTAGACAGACTGAGTGTGGAAATCATTGTTTTTCAGGCTTTGGAAATAGCCAAAGTGAAGGGCTGTTATTCGCAATGCACAGCTGATAAGAGCAATGAGTATTTGGAACGCATCGAGGTCGATTTACACCAGCCACAGGGTGACAGTATCATATTCGAAGATACTGAAAAAGCAGTCTCAGAAGAGGTGGCAGATTGGCTCGAGGCTCAGGAATGCGCCGAGTTCTGGAAGTCCAGGCTACGGCAGCCGCATCTGGTAGTAAGCGACATTACCCAAGTGTCTAGTTGGTCTATCTAACCTCATCAGATACCTAGTGCACTTCAGTTGGCGCGACATATCAAAACTAGTGCCACTCTCCAAGCTGACCCCTGCAGTGGTCTCATTTCATTCGAGGCGCTTTTGCATTTGATCGCCTTAGAGTTACTAGCAATTTGCTACACATCATCATCAAGTTCAATCGCAAGTTGCGTTCCTCTGCTGGAACAACAAAAAGATACGAAACCTACTACAGTATTGCGTGCATATTCAAAATCGCTATTTTCTCCAGCTTTTGGTCACCACGCTCGCCCATCTTCGGAAATAGGTTCTTGGCCAGTTCTTTGTATGGGACCGTCGCTCGAGGAAAAAATAGCAGAGCATGACAGCCGTAGACGCCGACAACAGAACGACCAGAAACAACATGTTTTGGATCTCTCTGGGGCCGGCTGCACAGATGGACCGCCCTCAGAAGCGATGTGCATGGAGCTAGACAGCAAATTATCAAAAGCCAGCTCGAGCTCCTCAGTGGGACACCAGCCAGGGGTTTTCTTACAACTGGTATGCCAAACAGTAGTACCCAGGAGCCATCGACGTAAGTACAACGCCATGTTCTTGGGCCGAATGTCGTTAGGGTGGAAGAGACAGAAGCAATATTGGGCTGAGCTTAAGCCTCGTCAACATGGTGACCGAACGTCCTCCCCTAAAAACATCAATGAACGACCTATACTACGCGCACCATCCGTACTTCAACTTCGTCCTACACAATCTGTGCCATCAATTGCAGTAGAGAAAGATGTGTCCGTCAGGAATCCTTATACTTCGAGGCGATGTAGCTCCGATCCATCTGATAGCACTCCTCTCACTCATCACTTCCAGCTTCCGGAGATCCGGCGCATCTCAGAATTAATGGATGGGAGCCAGTCTCAAGATTCATCGATAGCTGACTCCGTGCGTGCTTGTGAACACGGGGATCTCATAGTCACTCACGATCACTTTGACGACACTCCAGATGGCCCATATACAGCACGACAACAGCAGAATCAGTGGAAGAATCAGCATTGGCGACACAAGGATACTAGTTTTCTATCCCCACCCGCTACCTTCTTGCCAATGAAGTCTACTCCGTCAAGCCAGATTGTTTCAGAGAGTGACTACTTTGGGAAAGTTCATATTGGTGGACGCACGACGGATGGGAAAGAGGATCATAGGACTACTGCAACAGAAGATGGCGGTACACGCTCTACAATGAATGACAGTATTAAGGCTCAACCTTCTATAAAAGAGTCGGGCGACAGTGACGGACCGAACCAAAAGAAGCCGAGAGGCGTCAATGAATCATCGATGCGGGGATGTGAGTTTGGAAGGCCGTCTCGGGGTAGAACAAGAGAAGAACTTGATCATTATTCTGCTAAGATAGGTTGGTAACGCTTGAGGTCATGGGGACGTTGTAATTAGCAGAGTCTTTGCCTTGATGTACAGCTCAATTGCAATGGCCGTCTCTCATAAAGAAGACCTGTAAAATCTAAAGACCAATGTATCTCTCATCCCTAAAATCGGGTTCTCAAAATCATTCTTCTTCCTCTCATGTAGCTTGAAGCCAACCTTTTTCAACACATTCTGACTTGAGACCAACTCCGGGTCCGTGTGTGCTTCTGCGTACTCATATCTCGGTGCCAACCGCTTCCCATTGCTCGTGCAGCCATTGGTGCCGTTCCCGTTTTGTGCACTCCCGTTGCTTGATGGACCCTCTGCATCTTCATCCCGGTAATCTGCAATGCAATTGCCGGAATAGTGTTCGAAAAACAAGGGCATGAACGCACGTAATGCTTCCGTGGCGTATCCTTTCCCCCAGTATGAAGCATTGAACATGTATCCTACTTCGGGAGCGCGGACAGCACCAATGAGGCCAATGACGCGTGGACCATCGTGAGGCTCCGACAAGATGACTGCGAAATTCCAATTGTGTTCAACCTGGTGGCACTGCGAAAGCTACTAGTCAGCCTACAAAACATTCTCAAGAAAGCTATTTGAGGTAGGAAAAATTGCCCCTTACACCTTGTATCCATGCCTTTGTAGCTTCAATGTTGTCCGAGGGGAGAGTAGATGTATGCATCATGACCTCCGGATGCCTGCGCATCTCCAATACGTCATCTGCATCTTCCATGCGCAGCGGGCGGAGCAGCAACCGTTCCGTCTTGACGAATAGCCCAGGGTCAACCACAACCATATTTTGCAAAGCTTCAGAAAGAAAGTAGTATCGAGAGCAGTCTCATCATAATATACATTTACTGGCACAGTGTGTGTGCGCGCATTTAAAAAAAGAGAGTCAGATTGGCAGTCGTCTGTGGCACCCAGTTGGAACAACTGGCGGCGCACAGGGCTGAGCTGGTACCTTGTCCATTGTAGCCTAAAAGAGAGCGTATGTTTGGAAAAAAGGACGCTAAACCGCTTCGGTGGGCGCCGATATCCCCGAAGCTTTCTCAACCACAGCTGTCAAACTACTACACCGCATCCAGCACACAACGGCCAATCAAAGATGCTCCTCTTGAGGGTCTTCATCTTACATCATTTATAGCAATCGCTGCTCTTCGTCTGTTCGTCGGCAACGGCTTCCAGACTCTCTTTTTTCGTTGGCCCTCTTCCCTCCCGGCCCCCCCTCCCCTTACCCCCGCATGTCGAATTCAATTCTATCCGCTTCCGCGAAGGGAGCCACTTTTCTCATCCTGCTGCAGGTTGCCTCGCGCGCCCTTACATTCGCTGTCAACCAGGTTCTGCTGCGATTTCTCTCACCGGAGCTGCTCGGCGTTTCAGCCCAGCTCGAGCTCTTCTCCATATCGGTGCTGTACTTTGCGCGAGAAAGCTTACGCGTGGCACTGCAGCGCCAGGCGCATGGCACGCAGGCAGTAGTCAATCTCTCCTATCTCGCCGTTTTCCTGGGTACGCCGCTGGCGTATGTACTTGCGTTGCTGTGGTTCCGGTCGGAGACGCCCAATGTGCCGTTCTTTGCAGAAGCACTGTTTGTCTATGGCTTGGCTACCTTTCTCGAGTTGCTTAGCGAGCCTGCGTTTTCAGCAGTCCAGCAGAAGCTTCTCTATAAAGTTCGAGCGTCGGCTGAGAGTTCTGCTACCCTGTTGCGATGCATCGGCACTTGCGGATCTGCGATTCTAGCTAGCCGTGCCGGTCTCGATATCGGGGTTCTGCCGTTTGCTGTTGGGCAATTGGCTTACGCCATGGCGTTACTCGTTGTGTATTCGTTCAAGACATGGCCTGTTGCGAAGACGGATGGGTTTTCGCTTTTCCCGGAGAGAATACCTTCAACTAAAGAGAATCCCGTCTTGATAACCTATTTTTCTGCTCCTCTACTTCGACTTACTGCATCTCTTAGCCTTCAGTCAGCGCTCAAATATGTTCTTACTCAAGGCGATTCTCTTTTGATCACGACTCTTGCTTCGCTTGCAGACCAAGGCGCCTACGCACTCGCATCAAACTATGGAGGTCTCATTGCACGCATGCTCTTTCAGCCCATTGAAGAGAGCAGTCGCAACATGTTTGCAAAGCTGTGTGCCAATGTAAAATCAACGGCACCCACCGGGGAAAAGAAGAAGCCAGAGGAAACAAACGAACAACAACAGAACCTAGCTCAGGCTTCCAGAGTCCTTAGTACCATCCTCCACCTCTATGGCATCATATCTTTATTCGCCGTCACACTGGGCCCAGTCCTAGCTCCTACACTCCTTTCGATTGTCGCGGGTCAGAAATGGTCCGCAACATCTGCATCAAAGGTCCTTTCGACATACTGCTACTACATTCCCTTTCTCGCCATCAACGGTGTGACTGAAGCATTCGTAGCCGCCGTTGCTACTAACAAAGAGCTTTACGCACAGTCAGTTGCCATGGGCATCTTTTTCGCCCTTTTCGCGGGGAGCGCCTGGTTCTTCATCGGTCAGCTCGAAATGGGTGGTAATGGCGTGGTGCTGGCTAACACAGTTAACATGGCTCTGCGTATTGTATGGAATACGTGGTTCATTGGACGATTCTTTTCGCAGAATGGTTCTGGATTCAGCATATTAGAGACATTGCCTTCGCTTACTGCTGCGGCTCCTGCGGCCGTTGTACCGACTCTGATGCGGACGAAGCCCGGTATTTATTTTCTGAGACGGTTTGGAGTGCTGGGTGAGCTGGTGAGCATGGGAGTTGTAGGTGGGATTTATGTGTTGCATGTGTTATTTTTTGAGCGTGGCTTTCTGGTGGATTGCTATCGCATGTTGAGGCCTTCTCGAGTGCCCGATGCAGCTGAGAAGAAATCGGAGTGAAGGGAATATGTATTAAGTAGATAAGAGCTAGATGTTTCCAAGTACAATTTTGTAGCAAGACGCTGGGATAGAAAACAGTTTATCATTTAACCAACATGCATGTATTTCTACTAGCATTGAGAGAAAGGTTTTCAGGTTGCCCATGGGGCCGCCATCACAGCAGTAGCGAAAATCCGGGGCATCTCCTCTCTATAGGAGAAAAAATCTTCACTACTATTCTACGTACAATTCAAATGCATCTTCGATCCCAACCCCAGACACCATTCAAGTGGGTCCGCACGTGATTAGTCACAGCCCCACTCCATATCGATTACCAAGTTTTCCCTCCCCTCATTGTTACTCAGTTGGATAACAACGCTCTCGAACAGAAAAAAAAACGTCACTCCCCGGGCCACACACACCCAACTCCAACTGCACCCCGCCTCCTTCTCCTCACAAACCCCAACCCGCATCCCGATCACCAACCATCTCCAAATTTTTTTTCACGCCATCACGAGAACAAGGCCGCACGAACTATTATTTTCTCAAGTAATCTGGGGGTAATAGAAACTAGGGTTTTCCCTTGGACAGGAAAACCTGGGGGAAGAAAGCACGGCCGTAATCAAATTATTCGCTGGGTTGCATGAAGCCAGGGGGCCCGCGGTTGCTTGTTAACTTTTAGTTGCAGAGACGGACCGCTAAGCGAAGTTTCCTGGGGGTAAGAGAAACTACCCCATCGACGACGCAAGACGACATTAAACAACGCACAACGTGGGCTTTGATCACGCCATTTAAGCACTGGGAAGAAAAGTTTTTACCTGGAAACCAGACTACCATTCGACAATTGAAACTTATTGGTTGCCGTTTTCTATTATAACATTCTTGGCCTGCAACACACCAGGATTGACGCCATCGAGACTATGGTTACGATGGACGAGTCGCGACACTTGCATGGGCTGGTGGACATGGGGAGTAACGGGATCCGCTTCTCGATTACGGATCTGACGCCAGCGACGCAACGGGGACTCCCGACTCTGTATTTGGACCGTGCGGCGATATCGCTGTACGATGCGCAGTTTGAAGACGGCAAGCCCGTTCCGATACCCCAGGCGACGATCCGACAGGTAGTCAAGTCGCTGCTGCGATTCAAGGCTACGTGTGAGGATTTCGGGGTACCTGAGAGTCAAGTGCGGATTGTGGCTACAGAGGCTACAAGGAAGGCGGTTAATTCGGAAGAGTTCCGCAAGGAGATTAGGAGGGCGACGGGGTGGGAGGTGGAGCTTTTGTCCAAGGAGATGGAGGGACGGATTGGGGCGTTTGGGGTTGCGAGTTCGTACCACAATGTCACGGGACTCATGATGGATTTGGGAGGTGGGTCGACGCAGATCAATTGGATCGTCACGTCGACGCAGTACGATCGGATTGAGATGTGTGAGAAGGGAAGTGCAAGCCTACCGTATGGCGCTGCGGCGCTCACGAAGAGACTTGAGGAAGCTGGTCCTCATGGAAGCAAGGGTTTCAAGGCTTTTGAAAGCGAAGTCGTTGCTGACTTGAAAGGAGCGGTTGAGGATATTCGGATTCCCCAACATTTGCTTGACCGATGCGATTCGGAAGAGGGTCTTTCTCTTTACCTGTCTGGAGGTGGGTTTCGAGGCTGGGGCTTTGTGCTCATGTCTACGCATCCCGTCCAGCCATATCCCATTCCAATCATCAACGGGTTTCGGACAACGAGTGATGTTTTTCATGATACGCACGCTGTACAGGCTGCTGTCAAGCAAGAAGACACACCAGAAATCTTCCGTGTGTCAGCACGTCGGGCCAGTCAAGTTCCTGCCGTTGCCTTTTTGGTTTCGTGCTTGTCGAAAGCACTGCCGAGCATCAAGAACGTCTACTTTTGCCAGGGCGGCGTAAGAGAGGGAATGCATTTTGCGGAGATGGAGCCGGCGAGCATGTCCGATGCGCCAATTGTCAATGCGACAAGAGCGTATGCGCCGGCTTCTAGTCCGGAGCTGATGGACCTGTTGCGAAGAGCGGTAGTGGCTCCGCCATCGGCGGCGCGCAAGGAGCTGTTTAGCAACAGCATGATGAGGGCCTTCACTTACACCATGTTTGCGCACAGAGGCCAAGTTAAGGATCTCCGCAGTGGGTCTGCGCTAAGGAGTACCACGACAGGCATCTTCTCTGCCGGACACGGTCTTAGCCACGAGGAACGCGCCACGCTCGCCATTCTACTGTGTGAGCGTTACGGGGGGTACAACACAATCAGCCCCACCGAACAGGACTTTTACCACCGAATGCTGCAGCTTGTTCCCGAGGACCTGAGGTGGTGGTGCAGGTACCTGGGGAGCGTTGCCGGCGTGCTTGCAAGTGTATATCCCGCGGGGACCATTCGGCAGAGCCGCGTCCAGGTCAAGGTGGAGTGGGCGAGTAGCAAAAAGGACAAGGAGAGGCTTTGCATTGATTTTGAGTTTGGGCACGAGCCGGACGATCTGGACGAGGGACTGCAGGCGGCGTTGAAGAGGGTGGAGAAGGTGGGCAAGAAGAAGAAGTGGATCGGAGGGCATGGATACAAGGTGGTGTTGACTGTAAACGGCCACGGCTATGGCGAGGAGGACGAGTAGAAGTGAAACAATGGTAGTGCGTGATTGTCATGGGCGTTGGAGTGATTTTACCGAGTTGGGCTCGTCATGGCGAGGGACAATGGCGACGATATGCCCGTCTGGGCCATGGACGCGGTCTCGACGCTGAGCAACCGACAGCTGACAGGCAAAAGAAGGGATCGTGACTCGGTAACTGGGTGCAAGCGGTGAGGTAGAGGTGGAGGAGAGTGTGCAATGGCCGCACGTGCAGCAGAGACCCAGTCCCAAGGGGCCACGTACAGTCATGGAAACGCCATGGATGGCAGAGAGCGAGCGCCAAGGATCGTGAGTTCTGCAGCCGGCGTCGCGGGGAGAGGGAGCAGAAGGGGTCGGGGGTGGCACTACTGCGCCCATCCCTGCAGTCCCGACGTGGGCGGCGATGGATGCCAGTCGGGTGACGTTTCTTCTCGGCCGCACTATGCGAAAACTCTGCCGGGACGATGAGGCTTTTTCTAGAAGACCGGTCATGATGGATTGCGGACGACGGATTGGGGAGCTCGAGGGCCGGGCCTGGTCGAATTACGTGAGGGTGGGCGATGCGGTGCAGCGCTAGCCGGCACCTCCCATGCCGTCTCTGGCAAATTCTGGGGAAGCTCGCGCCCTCGGCTTGCAGCGGGACAATCCAGGTACCATGACTACCTACATACGCCCCATGGTCAGCTTAGCAGGTAGCAGAAAAAACATTATAAAAGACGAGGCATGCCCCGTGGCCACATGGAGAGAGGCGGACACGAGCATTCACTTTGTTCGGCTTCTTCTGTTGCGTTTCCTTTGCACTGTTGCAGCCCGTATAGGCAGGGTTTCTATTCTTGTCTGCACCACCCATACTTACACTACTTACTTACACACCCACACCCCTGCAACCTCCCAAACACCAACTGCCTACTATCAGTCTGTCCATCAGCCTCTGCCCTTGCATCGGCTGCCACAATCGCCCTTCCGCCTGATAACATTCACACCATTGTCCTCTTCCGCTTCCCCAGGCCAGGGACTGTCGAAAGAGCGGTGGCTTTCTGCCCAATTGCCTCTGCAGTCGTTATCCGAGCTGCAATTCAACTAGAGGTCAGCTAGCGTCATCACTGTTGATCAGAGGCTCCCCGAATAGCGGTGGATTCGTGTTACGCACAGAAACTTTCGCTGTTGCTGCTGCTGCGCCCTCTGGCTCAAATACTCCGTACAGGTCCACTAATCCCCTCTCTAGTTTTGGACACGGCCGTGCCTTGCCCCTCCTCCTCCTTCTCTACTCTCTGCCCCGCTGCCCCTTGTCAACCCTCGTTGCACATACACAAACACCACTCACAATGGCGTCCACACCCAATGAAGGCTCCAATGCCCAAGCGCCCCAGCACAAGCAGCTCGAGCAGCTGCTCAATACACCCGACCGCCGGCCCTCTCCTCTGCCCACACATCTGAGCGCACCCGGCTCCTCAGGACACTCGACCCCCCGAATCATCCCACAAGAAGGCTCCGGCGGCTCTGGATATGTCGCCCCCGTCTTCGAGGGCAAGGAGAAGCAGATGGAGGCCGTCATGGATGGCGTCGAGGAAAAGGGCTTCATGCCCCCAGAACTCGTCGAGTCCGAGACCAAGTGGTTCTACAACGAGCTCGGCATTGACGACATGTACTTTGCTACCGAGACTGTCGACGCGTAAGAATACACGTTTCTCATGCACATAAACCCACGATGCTAATGTCAATCCTGCAGAATCGTAAACCACATCCACTCGCTCTACGCCGCAAAGGTCGCCGCCTACGCCAGAGACGACAAGCGTCTTGAGATCCGCCTCGACAAGGAGGCCTCAGACCACGCCGTCTACATTGACACCAGCAGGCCCGGTGTATCCGTCATAGATGGCCCACAATACGAACAACGCATAGGCAAGAAGTACCTGGCCGTCTCAAAACCCGGTCTTGCCTACCGTGTCGAGAGTTTCCGCTCCGAGAGCCCGCTGCCAGGAAGCGAAGACCAGCAACTCCGCTGCTACTTCGTCTACCAGTGCGACTTTGTAGATCCCAACCCCAGCGAGACCGAAACCAACCTCGAAAAGATTGGTGACAAGCGCTTCCTGCAAAAGGCCACTGCCAACACAAAGGCCATCTACCAGCAGATTCTCCAGGTCGCTGTAGAGCGTACCGGACCCGTCATTGACCACTATGACATTGAGGGCTCGCGGGACAAGCGCCTGGTTGTTGGTTTCAAGCGCGGAAGTGCTCTTGGTCTCTTCAGCGCCTTGAGTGACTTGTACCACTACTACGGTCTGACAACATCGCGAAAGTACGTCGAGCAGTTCTCCAACGGCTACACCGTCATGTCTCTGTACTTGCGCCCATTGCCCGGAGCGGCTGGTGCCAAGCACCCTCCCATTGAGGCGTCCATTCACCAGATCACCAAGGAGGTTTCGCTACTCTACTGTCTCCCGCAGAACAAGTTCCAGACGCTCTTTGCCACAAGCAGACTCAGTCTGCAAGAGACCATCTACGCACACTGCGTCTGGGTCTTCATCACCCATTTCCTCAACCGTCTTGGAAGCGAGTACACTGCCTTGTCAGCAATCCTGGACTCTGAGAACAGCGTACATGCTGAGCTGCTGGCCAAGCTCAAGCGTAGGCTACGTGCTGAGACATTCACTGCCGACTACATTTACGAGATCATCATGGAATACCCCGAGCTGGTCCACACTTTGTATCTGCCCTTTGCAAAGACCCACTATGTCCAGACCCGCGGCCAGGAAGACGACTTCCTCCCAACACTGAGTTACCTCCGTCTTCAGGTTGACAAGGTTCAGACCGATGCTGAGTTGACCGACACCATCAACAAGGCTGTTGTCAACGACCACCACGAGATGGTCATGACCTCTTTCCGCGTCTTCAACAGCTCCGTCCTCAAGACCAACTTCTACACCCCTACCAAAGTTGCTATCAGCTTCCGTCTGAACCCCAACTTTCTCCCACGTTCCGAGTACCCTCAGCCGCTGTACGGAATGTTCCTTGTCATTGGTTCAGAATTCCGTGGTTTCCATCTCCGCTTCCGTGATATCGCCCGTGGTGGTATCCGTATCGTCAAGTCTAGGAGTCAGGAAGCATACTCTATCAACGCACGCTCAATGTTTGACGAGAACTACAACCTTGCAAACACACAACAGCGCAAGAACAAGGATATTCCCGAGGGTGGATCTAAGGGTGTTGTGCTTCTCGACTTCAAGCACCAGGACAAGGCCCGGGGTGCGTTCGAAAAGTACATTGACAGTATTCTCGATCTGCTTCTGCCTCCCACCAGCCCTGGTATCAAGGACCCTATTGTCGATTTGCACGGCAAGGAGGAGATTCTGTTCATGGGTCCCGATGAGAACACGGCTGATCTTGTCGACTGGGCAACTGAGCATGCCCGTGTCCGAGGTGCGCCATGGTGGAAGTCCTTCTTCACTGGAAAGAGCCCCAAGTTGGGTGGTATTCCTCACGACCGTTACGGCATGACTACTTTGTCTGTGCGCGAGTACGTCAAAGGAATTTACCGCAAGCTCAACCTGGATCCCAGCAAGGTCCGCAAGATGCAAACTGGTGGCCCTGACGGTGATCTTGGATCGAACGAGATCTTGCTCAGCAACGAAAAGTACATTGCCATTATTGATGGTTCAGGTGTTCTTGTCGACCAGAACGGCATCAACCACGAGGAGCTTGTACGTCTAGCCAAGGAGCGCAAGATGATCAATCACTTTGATGTGTCGAAACTCTCATCTGAAGGCTACCGGGTTCTGGTTGATGACACCAACGTGCGACTACCAAACGGCGATCTCGTCTACAATGGTACCACTTTCCGCAACACCTTCCATCTCCGCAGCGACATGCACTACGATACCTTTGTTCCTTGCGGTGGCCGACCCGAGTCCATTGACCTGTCCACCGCCAACAAGCTCATCGTTGATGGCAAGTCGGTTATTCCATACATTGTCGAGGGTGCAAACTTGTTCATTACCCAGGACGCCAAGCTCCGTCTCGAGAAGGCTGGCTGCATCTTGTACAAGGATGCTTCAGCTAACAAGGGTGGTGTTACTTCCTCCTCGCTTGAAGTCCTTGCATCCCTGTCGTTCGACGATGAGAGCTTTATCAAGCACATGTGTGTTGGAGAGGACGGTCAGGCTCCTGAGTTCTACAACAACTATGTGCGTGAGGTTCAGAAGACTATTCAGAACAATGCTCGTCTCGAGTTCGAGGCTATCTGGAGGGAGCACCAGGCTACTGGCCAGCCACGAAGCGTTCTTAGTGACACGCTAAGTACCGCCATTACCAAGCTGGATGAGGAGATGCAGAACACGGATCTCTGGAAGAACATTCAGTTCAGAGAGTCGATTCTTAAGGAGGCACTTCCCAACATTCTGCTCGAGAAGATTGGTCTTGACAAGATTATGGAGAGGGTAAGTGTTGATATTAAGACGTGGATATGAAGCAGAAACTAACACCCATACAGGTGCCAGACAACTATCTACGTGCCATTTTTGGTAGCTACCTTGCCAGCCGCTTCGTTTACGAGTACGGTGTATCGGCCAGTCAGTTTGCTTTCTTCGACTTTATGAGCAAGCGCATTACAAAGGGTAACAATGCTCCTCATTAAGAGAGGGGTATTTTCATAGAGCATCGCAACCTTGAACAGGCGTTTGGATTGGATACAAAAAGTTTGATTTGTTTTTGGAGGTCGAAAAGGGAGAGAGATCCCCTGGCCATGAACATGACTAGCGGCACTTATGGGACTCACGAGTGTGGGTCTACTAATGGGCGGCTTTGTCTGCCGTGACGAATGAATGATTATGAATTGTTCGAGATGCTTGTTGTGACCGATTTGTTCAAGTGTATATCAAGGAATTTGTATGTCATTTCATCGTTATACTTGCAAGAAACACGTAGAAACAAAGAGCGTATAGGCCGTTACTAGAAAGATATCAAGAAAAAGAATGCTACCCCATCTCAATCTCCCCAACCTTACCTTATTCACTTGAAAGCGACCTTAATCTCCTTGGCAGGCTGCAACACAATATCCGCATGCATCCCAGGCTCCACGCCCCCCATCCTATTCTCCACCTTCTCAAACCGTTGGAACAAGCGCACAAGCGTATACCCCATTTCCGTGAGCGCAAACTGTTGGCCAATGCAAATCCTGGGACCCCCGTTGAACGGAATGTACGTCCAGCTCTTGGGCGTCCACGAGTCCCACCTGTCTGGTGCGAATGCCGATGGTGGGGGCAGTGAAGACGACGAGGGCGGATACAAATCTGCGCGGCGCTGCATGACGAGGGTTGAGTAGCCAATTGGGGTTCCCGCGCGAATACCAATGGGTTGAGTGCCGTCTGGGCCACCGCCTGTGGGGAGCGTGGTGTCTTTAAGTGCCATACGGACGTTGTACGGGACTACGGGGTAGAGGCGGAGAGTCTCGTTGATGATGTGTTGGAGGTACTTCATGTTCTTGAGATTCTCGTAGGTGGGCTTGTTGTCGAGGCCGACGGTGTCAATGATTTCCTGGCGGAGTTTGGCAGTGATGACTGGGTCCATGGATAGGTGGTAGATTACCCATGTGAGGGTGCAGGCGGTTGTGTCGCGGCCTGCGAGGAGGACGTTGACGATTTGGTCACGGAGGGTGGAGCGGTCGCGGGTGTAGGATGCGAGGGCATGGAGGAAGTTGTAGTCTTCGTCGTTTTTTGAGGTTTTCCCGAGTTCCTCGGGGGAGAGGGCTAGGGCGCGGTCGATGAAGGTGGAGACGAATTCGTTGATTTTGTTGACCGAGTCATAGAAGCCCATGTATTTGCGGGGGACGACCCAGTTCAAGGGGCTGTGAGGTTTTAGTTGTGAGCTTGAATGAGACGGAAATAGTTTGTCATTTCACATACCCGACTCGGGCGATGATGCTCTGGACACGCTGGGCATTGTAGAATGCATCGGCAAATTCAGTCTTTGGCTCTTCCAGGCTGCCGACACTTTGGCCCAGTAAGAAATGTGTGGCTGCGTCCAGAGTATACCTAAACATCATGTCGAGCATATCGATTTCTTGGCCATTGTCAATCTTGGATATGAGAATCTGGGTGTGCTGCTCAAAAATGTTGATGTCGCTGAGGCGGTCTTTGATGAATTGCGGGCGGATCAGCTGACGTGAGTTGTGCCATAGCTCGCCGTCAGTCGTGAAGATGCCTAAATGGGATCTGTTAGCCTCTGTTGTCTAGTTGATTTTTTTAAAAACAAAACAGCATATTCGGCACTAAACAGATGTCTTCACATACCGTGGCCCAGAAAATTATACCAGTCTTTTGTGAATTGTTCTCCCTTGCCATAATCTTTAAATTGAGTCGCCAGAATGGCTTTGATGTTCTCCGGTTCTGCGGTCATGATGAGGCGATCGACGACCCCAAGCTCGACCGTGTAGCGCCCGGTCGGGCACTCCTTGTTAAACATGTCGGTCCACATCTCATAGATTTTGTCATCCAGCGCACTCTGGACAGCTTCCCAAATTATGTCAATATGCCAGGGGAGGTAGCTCTTTCGAACGGGCGCGCGGGCGCCCATTTTATTGATTTTCGCATTGATGTAGAACTTGCGGGCGACGGTGTAACTGATATAGAGGGCAGCAAGGGCACCGACGAGCTGGGGCATTGATAGATGCATGGTGTCGAGTTGAGCCATGGTGGGCAAAATCTCGAGGACTGCTGTGGAGCTTTCGAGGATGCAGGCGGCGATATGTACCTGGTAGCAGCGTTCACATGCCGCAAGGCAGGCACGGCCGTATAGGCTGGTCGGCTAAGTGTACTCTAGCTCCTCAGTTTATAAAAAGAGATGCCGAAATTTTCAGACGCCATTGTTAAATTACACGTCCTACTGGCACAGGATTGGTGCTTCTCTCCCGTCGCTTAGAGGTACTCGTCACGGCCTTGATGCTTCCATGTTTACGCCATTGAGACGGCGTATCCTTCGTCTTGGGCCTCGGGTATGACGTTCCAGAGGGCTCTCAATGTCGCACGAGTGGCCTTCGTCTCGCATCTTTAACCAAACTGGACAACACGAGGCCCGTGTGACCTGGCAGGTTATGAAAGCGGGGAAAGACGATCCTGGTTACTCAAGGTGGGGATATGTCGCGCGGCTTCGTACGAACTGCACAAATCGCATATTTCCCAGATCTGGACGAATGGCGAATGTCATGACTGAACGCTATGCGAATGACTGCGTCAGTATTCTTTTGCTAGCTGGGGAACGGTCGACTTGTCTGTCTTGTCCCAACGTTAGTGTTGAACCTTGTGCCGTTGATTGCAGGGGATATACGTAGCCGACGTGCCGTGATCTCTGGGTTGCTGACACCAACCATCTCTTGTCAGGCCAGCCGTCACGGCATCGCCAGAGGCCCGCCAAAGTGAGGCCGCATACGAATGGTGGTACAAACAGCAGATTGGCGGTCGTGTACAGCTCCTCTGTGCACTTAACCATAGCTGATGACAGGGCTGCGGCGGAAGTGGAGGCTGAACCCCGGCACGTTATTATCGCGCCTCAACCGGATACCCCACCATGGCACCAGTACACTAGCTGATGTCTTGGCTGACCCTCCAAGTACTCCGTACATTTCTCCAGCCTCAAGCTCAACAACCAATCGAGTTTCTACGCAGTACACAACGGAACTAGGACACCCCAGCTTACATCTACAGCAAAGTTCATCACTGGCCGGCTTCAGCGGATATTGTTTAGGGGGTATCGAATCGGACCTACATTGTCGTGCACCAGCCATCCTTACAAATTAGTCAATAGTTCAATTATCTCTTTCAAAAAGCTTTTGCAGAGCTTATGTGCTCTTGTCATTTCATTTAGTTTTGGTGTCTTCATGCATTCGTTTCATCCATTTGCTGCACAATGAAAACCCTTGTAGTTTGTTCTCTTTTCACGTCATTGGCCGCTGCCATATGGCCGCTCCCTACGTCGTATGAGCACGGAGATGCTGTTCTGTTTATCAAGAAGGATATTTCGTTTCATTGGTACAAGGCTGGTGCAAGCAATGTAGGCTCATTCACGGATCAAACTCCCTTCTTCTTCGCATCAGAATCTGACATTGGACCTCATTTTCAGCAAAGTACAGCACTGGAACTATACAAAACCTATACAGATGTATCAGCCACCGACAAATCCGATGATGGAGCGGGCGACAGTGTTTCTGGCGATGACATTGTCGACTTTGCCATCAAATCTAGCTGGAAAATAATCTTCAATCAAAACCTCTACCCGTGGAAATTCCGTCCTCGAGCCTGGAACGAGCCATCACCTAGGAGCGCATACGTCGCTCGCGTCGACATCAAACAACTTTCCGTCGATCCGCAAAACATTGGAAAGCCGCAAGCTGGTGAAGCCGACGAATCCTACACACTAACCTTAACAACAGAAGGTATAGCTACCGTCAGCGCAAATTCCAGCATTGGCGTAGCACGTGGCCTAACAACATTTACACAACTCTTCTTCGTCCATTCAAACAAGCAGGATGTATACACACCCCTTGCCCCAGTCACCATTTCCGACGCCCCAAAGTTCCAACACCGAGGTATCAACCTCGATGTCTCTCGCAACTTTTTCCCCGTCAACGATATAAAACGCCAAATTGACGCTTGCGCCTATAATAAAATGAACCGCTTCCACCTGCACGCCACAGACTCTCAATCTTGGCCCTTGGAGATCCCCTCCATCCCCTCCCTCTCCGCCAAAGGCGCCTACAGCCCCGACCTTGTCTATACAGCCTCCGACTTTAGCGACCTACAGCGCTACGCCGCACTCCAGGGCGTTCAAATGATCACAGAGATAGACATGCCGGGCCACACAGCCAGCATTGGTTACAGTTCTCCCGATCTCCTCGCCGCATTTAACATTCAACCAAACTGGGATACCTACGCGGCGGAACCGCCGACGGGTACGCTGAAACTCAATTCCACGGCTGTAAGCAAGTTCCTCGATACTGTTCTCGACGACTTACTCCCTCGTGTGCATCCGTATTCTGCGTATTTCCATACCGGTGGCGATGAGGTAAATAAAAACGCGTACAGCCTCGACGACACAGTCAAAAGCAGCGATTTCGCCGTCTTACAGCCCCTCATGCAAGCTTTTGTAGACCGCAACCACGACCAGGTCCGCGCCAAGGGCCTCGTCCCCATTGTATGGGAGGAAATGCTGCTGGATTGGAATTTAACGCTAGGCTCCGATGTCATTGTGCAGTCATGGCTCAGCGATCAGTCCGTGGCGCAGATAGTAGGCAAGGGTCACAAAGTACTCGTTGGAAATTACAATTTCTGGGTAAGATACTAAATGCACTTCCTCCTTCTTCCCACCTTCCTTTACCGTAGGAAAATCGTGGTTGGAATGAGAAATGCTAACGAAAGATGATAGTATCTTGACTGTGGCAAAGGCCAATGGCTCAACTTTGATCCATCAGTTAGTGCAGATAACTGGCCTTACAATGACTACTGTGCCCCCTTCCACAATTGGCGCGTAATATACTCGCTGGATCCGCTCGCTGGCGTCCCAGAGGCATCGCAGCACCTTGTTCTTGGGGGCGAGGCGCACATGTGGGCTGAACAGACGGACGCGGTGAATGTGGATCAGATGGTCTGGCCACGCGCTGCGGCTGCGGCGGAGATACTGTGGAGTGGGGCCAAGGATGGAGAAGGCAGGAATCGTAGTCAGATTGAGGCGGCGCCGCGGTTGAGTGAAATGAGGGAGAGGCTGGTGGCGAGGGGGGTGGGCGCGAGTGCGATTCAGATGCCGTATTGTACTATGGATGGCGTGGTGTGTCAGTTGGGATATCAGGGGACTTCATAATAATGTGTGTTTTGGGTTAACATGTCGAGACGGAAGAGCACGTTGTATTTAGCTCGTTAATCACTTTCCCGTATACATAAGGGAAGGAGTTCTCTTAATCCATCCAACATCAGCGTGATTTTCTACACGTTCAACGCCGAAGCGCCTTTTCCCTTTCATTTCCTGTCATACAACACAACGTCTTCTCTAAAACTCCATTGCATCCGCCGCCTCTTCCCTCTCCCTCTTAAGCGCCGGCTTCTCTTCCTCCAACAAGCCTGCAACGAATCGCTTGAAAAAGTCTACATAAGGCTTCAGGCTTGTCTTCTCCCAGTCCTGCACCTTCTTGTCCGTCTCGTCTCCAGTCCAGTCGTCAATTTCTTGTAGTAGTTGTGTGACTGTTGGTACGCTCAATGGATCGAAATCTTCGACTTTCTGTGTGTCAATCGGTACACAGACTCTGCCTGTGCCGGGATGTATTACAAATGGGCTCTTGAGTAAATGGTTCAGTTTTTTGGAGACTTCGGCATCAAGACGAGGATACGTGTATTCTAAAATGATGTCCTGTTTGGCTTCACGGAGCTCTCTGGGTGTCTTTGATAGGGCACCGGATTCGGCGAGGGTATTGATGTCGGACCATTTGGAAGCGCTGGGGCGGGAGGGTGCAGAACTCCATTTCTTCTGCAAGGCAGCTTTGAGGGTAGGGTCAGGGAGCAGGTTGAGGAGGTGGGCTGCTTTTTCATCACTGGCCCAGGGATCCTGTTCGGCAAGAATGGACGTCTGGAAGTGCTCTTTCAAGATTTCTAGACTGCGCTCCAGATGAGGGTGGAGGGGTCGTCGGGCATGGACTTTCTTGCCGCCCTGATCGCCTCCCTTGAGGAGTTCGAGATAGCCGGCTACCGAGCGGCGTCTCTGGTCATCCATCTCTCGTGCGCGCTTATCACAAACCCAAGCGTGAGCACCACGACGACCGGAGTAAACCCAGAGTATGTGCTTGAAGCCGAAGTCTTCCCGTAGAGCCACATCGATGGTCTTGATGGCCATTGTGATGAAGCCCCAGCACTTGAGACAAATGCTTGCACCTGTACAGCATGTTCTGATGTCATCATAATCCGTCATATCGATATCGAAGACCAGCTCCTTCATGACTGGACGAAAGGCACTGGCTTTTCGCAACGTCTTCCGATCTCTCGGGTTTGTGCTGTACATGGGGCCGATTTCAAAACGGGAGGGAAGCATGCTTATGCACTGTTTCCGTAGTAAATCAGAAGTCGGAAAAGACTGGTAGCGCAGATATGCATCATTAGGTAGCGTGAATGCGAATTCGCGATGGGCAAAGTCGTTGCTCGGGGTTGCGGAATGGTTGAGCCATTGGAAGAGGGGGCGGAAAGGGAAAAGGCGCTGGTAAAAGGCGCGCATGATATCTGGGTCGGAGAAGGACGACTTCGAATTAATCTTGCTGTGTGAATGTCAGTTGTCGAGCATCAAGATTGTCGAAGGGGAGGGGCGTACATTGGGGCCGGCTGCGATGCATCTTCTTGCGAGGTGGGTGCTGGTGCGCTCGAAGGGAATTCCGGGTCTGAATCTACGTCGTCGAATATTTCCTCGAGCTTGACTTTGCTTGTCTCTGCTGTGACCGCTGCTGGCACGTCTTCCATTGCGATATCTTGGGTTTCTGGCTCTGGCTTGACGTTGTCGGTCTGCGATGCGTCTTGTACAGGCGTCGAATCTGGCGAGATTGAGTGTGGCATTGTGGATACCATGGATTGATCTGAACCTGGCAGGTCAAGGCGTTGGATTGTCTGTTGGAGTTGAAAGGCTCCGTCACGGTCAACGCGTAGAGAGAACGCGGGCGCGCGTTTTGGCTACAGGGGTACCCTTGCGCGTCGTCCCTCATTTACTTTCCCCATTCGGTCAACCATCGCTGACTACACTATGTTTGTCTTCAGCCATAATTCTCTTGATATTTGCAGCACACACTATCTTCGGCCTCATAAGATTGACAATAGAAGAGGAAGGTATGGTGTCCTGGGACGGATGGATTTCAGATGACAGCAGTTTCTATGGTACGTCGGGTGCATCTTGAAACCCCACCCGCTAACAATTTGAAGGCACCGAGGAGGAGCAACAGCATCAAAGACAGCGCTGTGAAAAGTATGATCTAAAATTGTTCTGGCATTCTCGCTCCAAATATATCAACGCCATCGCGATGAATGCGAGGACTCAGCTCCTTGCAGAACCTACTTCCGACAACAGCACAGCGCCGTCCAAGAGAGGGAAGAGGGGAACATCACCGGTTACACAAGATCAGACATGCAAGACACCTAGTCGCTACCACAAAGACTTGGCGCAGGAGCACCTTTTAACGTCAAACTAGCGTAAGCAAGATTCATCATCAGAGCAATCATCGGAGCTCGAGTTGTTCAATCGGCTACAAGGACAACTCGATGCGTAGCAACTAGGCGAGTCTGTCGATGAATTTATACGCCGCCTTTCACCACTGACCACCTCCATCTCCAAATGTCCCTGGATCTGGGCTGAGAATCCTTATCGCAACCCTCACGACAAGCCGCCATATTCCAATGTCGCTGACTTTACAAATCGCGGCATGCAACTGCTCCAAGAGTCTTTAGAGAGCCGCCGTAAGATTCGCGAGTTAGCTGCTACACAACCGAAAGGAAGCGTGACCAAAAAACTAAGTCAAGAAAGCAAGTCTTTGCAGGAGCGCATCGCCAGCCTAGCCAGAGACACTCACGTTCTCTCTGGAAAAGTAGGTGGAAACTGACTGGAGCTGACTACCTCATTCCTTTCATGTCTAACTTTGAGTAGTGGATGTTATTCCTAAAATCTGTCGATGTTACTCGAGTCTGGAAACAGATCGTAGCAGGTGTCATCGAAAACCGACTTGGCTCTGGCTGCAAAGTGGCAATGGATGATGGAAAAGAGGAACGGCTGAGTAAGTGTGGCAGAACCCCGAAAGAATAGAGATTTACTAGTGCTAATGGTATCGCAGTCTGTGTCTACACAAAGGACTTTCAAGATACTCAAGATGTTGTACGAGTACTCCGGGAGCTGGAAAACATGGTTTTGATCTCTGCAGGCCGACCTATCTACTACAAGCCTGATGCCTATACTTACCTGGATCTCATGCGCGAAAACGCGGCCGAGTACGGATTGCAAGCGAGTCTTTATAATTCCCGCTCAATGCTGGCCAACGGTAAAGGGACCAAGTCGTCCCCACGATCCCAAAAGAAGTAGTGTAGGGCTATTTCGGGCCGTGAATAGTTTTTGTTGTAGCTACAGCGAAGAAGAGGGTTGCTGGGATACCGTATACAGGATGTACGCATGCGATGCAACGCACCGATAACTCGGATACCATTTACGGTGCCTAGGTGAGGATGCTGGCGGGCCCCCCACGAATTCTTTCCCAGCAAAACTGGTAACTTCCCTTTTCGTCCTTTTGCTCGCTCTGCCACCATTTGGAGCCTGTGTGTCTCCTAGTCGTTGTTGAACACGTAGCAAATCCTTTACGGATTATGCGTCAAAACCAAGGTTCTGTCGGACGGTACTAACCAGCAGTTTTCCTCTTTTCCCACAGCAAACACCCCGCTTGCGATGCTTAACAACGCAGCTACCAGGGTGTTTGCGCACCATGCTGAATCGCCATTGTCTAGAGCTTTCCAGAGAAACGTAAGCAAAACCTACCCCTGGGTGTGTAACGCGATTGCAAAGTCTTTACCGCTACACGACGTCTAGCCAATGCAGAGGCAATTTGTCACATCGTGTCTGCAGAACATGCTCGCCACCACGACGAAATGAGAGTAGCCGAGGCTGCTGGGCCTCTCGTGTGCAAGCGCGCCACCGGGAACTCCAGAAAGCGTTGAGCGTGCAGTTTTTGTTACTCGATAGCTACTTGGGTTCGGAGTTCTGGACGCCGTAGTTGGCCGCTTGTCCTAGATGACTCGAACCGACAACCAGAATACCAGAGGGCCACGGAGGTGGCCGAGCACCCATCTCGACCACCTCATGATGTTTATGGCCTCGTTCCTTTGATCAAGAGTATAACGCCGATGCCTGAACGCGGTCATGCTTGTCAGGACGCACGAAACGAGCTACAGCAGAATCGGAATGCGTTTGGAAATTCGGTCGAGAATATGCCTTTCGGGCAGCTCCGGGAGAAGCCAGTCCATGCGTGTCGGGCTAGGTAAGCGGTCGCGGTGACGAGAGCCAACTTATTGGATTTCCGTTACTCGATAGAAATAGAAGGTACGCGCTGCCTGACATCTCCTTAGCTTCTCCGGAGATGTCGGGCACTCTCCCGGTGGCCTCAGGACTCCCAGCTCTTTTATCCATCAGGCTAATAACCAAGAACAAAAGAATTCTCTTTTCCTCGAAAATACACAAGCTGCAAAGAAATATCCGGCGGTGTATTCTGGACCATGCACTGGATGTTCGAGGTGCCACGGGTATTATGACGCTCAACCGGCTGCCCTGCGCTAGGCCTTGTGGGCCTAATCGGAGCGATCTACTGCATGTCTATCGTAGGGGAGCCACATCCTTGCATTTGCTTATCAGTAACACATGCACGTCTCCCAACACCACCTTTTGAGCCAGAGAAGCAATGTGCGTTTCTGGGTGCTTTACAGTCCCAACAACTGCAATATTGTATTTTTGAAGGGAAAGATAGTATGAGGATAACATATTATAGGTCACACCGAAGAGCAGATACCTATGAAATGGGAAAATGTTGGCTCGTGTCTACAATAAAGTTGACCAACACAAGACAGGGCCGAGACGCATGGTCAGAGCGGCCGCGATAGCCTCGCCTCATCGTAGTTACTCGATAGTATCGAGCAATATGTAACGCAGGGCGCGCCGGTGGCCCACTATCCCGCGGCGCTCGCGTTAGCGAGACCCATACCTTATATACAATGCTTCGAGAGTAGCCCGGGGGTGGCTCCTAGCCATGGACAGATAAGGGACTGTACCCCAGATTTTGGCGTTTTTTTGACAGTCGGTATATCTGACCACAGGGTTCTTTTGTAATAAAGAATCCCGTCTTCTCTCTCCCAGTACTATTTACTCAATTTCTTTTAAAGACCTCACTCCAGTCCTCTTTTACACTTCCTGGCGCATCATTGACAGCGTCTTATCAACGCTTATCTGCAGCTCACCGACGACAGCCACCCCAACTTCCCCGCGTTCGCCGAAACCGGCTTGTGGCTGTATATAGCTCTTACCTTCCTGACGCGGTGTTATATAGTCCCACGTCTTCTGTCTTTACTTCTTTCTCCTTTCCGCTCCAAGTTCACTCAACACAACTCCAGCCTCGCAACATGGCCGCTCACGCGACGACACCTCCACCCACTTCTCAGGCCCAGCCTCTTCATCCCATCACTGTACTAGCTTCTTCAAGAGCTGTCGTTGGTGGTCGAATTACAGAGGCTACCATTATTGTATCGAACAATACTGGCAAAATTACGTCCATCTTCCACTCAGTACTTCCTCAAACGCACTTCCCTGAAGGTACACCATACACAGACTACTCTCCACACATCTTATTACCTGGACTTGTTGATGCTCATGTACATCTCAACGAGCCTGGCCGAACAGAATGGGAAGGCTTCTGGACTGGCACTCGAGCAGCAGCTTTTGGTGGAGTCACCACTGTCATCGATATGCCGCTAAATGCTATTCCACCCACGACTACGGTTGAAAATCTCAAGATCAAGTGCGAGGCCTCGCAAGGCAAATGCTGGGTCGACGTCGGCTTTTACGGGGGTATCATTCCAGGCAACTCAGGTGATCTAAAAGCACTGGTCAAAGAAGGTGTTCGAGGATTCAAGGGTTTCTTGTGCGAGAGTGGTGTAAGTCTAGTATACTTCAACGTTCAATCATGTGACACTAACACTCGCCATGTAGGTTGAGGAATTCCCCGCCGTATCCTCCCTCGACATTGAAAAAGCACTGCTCGAACTAAAAGACTCGGCAACTACCCTCATGTTCCACGCCGAGATGATCCCACCCATTGCCGACTCCGTAGGCGACGTGATCCAAACCTCCGAACCCCCTCTCGCCCCTAAAGGCGCCTTAACATCCTATGACACCTTCCTGCAATCACGACCTCCCGCCTTCGAAACATGCGCCGTAGCTGAGATCCTCTCGCTAGCCCACTTAGCCCCAGAGCTACAACTCCACATCGTGCATCTCTCTGCCATCGAAGCCATCCCTCTGCTCCGCAAGGCGCGCGCAGACGGTGTCAAAATCACAGCAGAAACATGCTTCCACTATCTCGCTCTCGCCGCTGAAGGCATCAAGGAGGGAGACACAAGACACAAGTGCTGTCCCCCCATCCGCTCGCAATCAAACCAAGACGGCCTCTGGGAAGAACTCCTTCAAGACACCGCTGACGGCGTCATTCAAACCGTCGTTTCGGATCACTCGCCTTGTACACCCGACATTAAGCTCCTACCCGCACATCTGGCGCCTGCGTCATCATCGTCAGAAACGCCCAGCAACCTCGAAACCCAGGAATCGGCAGCCAAAGGCGACTTTTTCGGCGCGTGGGGCGGTATTTCGAGTGTTGGCCTTGGTCTTCCTATCTTATGGACTGAAGGTACCAAGCGCTTTGATAACAGTTCCTTCTCCATTGAAGACATCGTGCGTTGGTGCTGCAAGAATACTGCCAAGCAGGTTGGATTGGAGCATAGCAAGGGAGATATCGGCGTAGGGTTTGATGCTGATATTGTGGTGTTTGATGATGAGGCCGAGTTCATGGTATGTTTTCTCCTTCCTTTTTATATTACCATTTTTGGGGGATGGTCTGCCTTGCTTTGCGCGGCTTGACTGGATGTAGATGTTCATATGTGGTGGTATTTGGATAACATGGCTAACTAAAATGGGCAGGTCGAACCCAGCACCATGCTCTTCCGCAACAAAGTCTCGCCGTACGAGAATAAGACACTCAAGGGTGTGGTGCGCGAGACTTGGCTACGTGGCCAGCGTGTTTTCTCGCGCGCAGAAGGGTTCTCGGAGAAGAGTGGGCCGTCGGGCAAGTTGTTGCTCGAGCCGAGAAAGATGAGTGCGTAATCGAAAGGTATTAGGATCAAGATTTGATTGTTGTTACGGCTGCATAGATGGCGTTGGATGGGTTTCCTGACATTTCCGAGCATTCATACATTCACACAAAGATAGAAGAAGTCGTTTCTCGAAAGAGAAACACAAGTCATGATCAAAGCAAATCTCTCTCATCTTTCCAATTCTTCATCAAGGTGAATCATATGGTACACCGATTACGTCCCAGAAATCGCTATGCGCCTTTGTAGTGCAAAAAAAACGAATAATCGACTTCGTCTGACCAGGGTAGTGGGGCTAAGAAATCTACAAGTACTTCTTTGGAGCCGAGTCTCTCCTCCTCTTGTACAGCATATATCCGCCGGTAATCGTGATTTGGACAGCAACGGCGATGAACAAAAAGGTCGTCATGCTAGGGCCCTTGCTGGTGATGGCTGTTTTAAAACAAGTTAGCTCTGATCAAGCAAAAGGAAAAAAAGGGGGATCTATGAATCAAAGAAGAAAAGAAGAAAAGAAGAAAAGAAACTTACCAGCACCCATCAAATGCGGTAAAACCTGAATAACGCCATCCTGATTCCTCTCAAGTGCCCGGTGAATCTGATTCATCATTTCCTTGAAATCCTTGGACTCCAAATCACGCAGGATCTGCGCTGTGGCGCGTTCGACCTTTTCGACGTTGTGCATGGTACCGGCGCTGCGCGCGTCGATTGCATGGACGCGCTCACTGATATCTTTCCAGCGCTCGTTGTTTTCTTCTGTGAGAGTATCTACGGCTTGCTTGACTTCGTAGACGCGGTGGAGGAGGGTTGCGAGGTGGTGGTCGACCATTTGGACGCGGTTGTGGAGATCGGCGAATTGCTCTTGCTGGGCGCGGATGGTGTCTGCAGATACATCGTCGATTATCTGGGGGAAGCCGTTTTCTGATGTACTCCTGGATTGCTGTTGTTGGTGCTGTTGGTGCTGTTGCTGCTTCTGCTGCTTCTGCTGCTGCGAGTTTACGTAGTTTGCATAGTCTTTCTTGTTTGGGCTCGGTGGGTTGGTGATGTGCGAGTTTATGGTGGATACGACGAATTTGTGAATTTCGAACGAGTCTGGGCTCTCGGCGGACGAGGCGCTGATTCCGAAGTAGTAGCCTTCAGGGAGTTCGACCTGGAGGAGCGGTTAGTGTACTGGACAACTGTAGA